TTTGTTTTTCATGTTATTATTTTTTCCCTGTGATTTTGACATGTGAATTTCTTTTGTAGTTCCTGATTCTTGTGTGAGACTCAAGCCTTCAACTTTAGGTCTGCTTCTTTTTGTAAAGTTTATGTGACTTCGTGGTTTCCTTTTTGGGCATAAAAAGCTGGTTCCTCTAAGCTTCTGGTTCTCTTTTGATTTTATATTGGAGTTTCCAGATTGCTTTTGTCTTCAGGAGTTCCCACAGAGGCCCAAGTCAGATGAGGATCAGATGCTCTCAGGCTTTCTCCTAAGGTCTGGATCCCTCCAGGAAAGATTTTGGCCTCAGGAATTTGGAGGTTGGACTGGCCTGGGAGCAGGGCCCAAGAAAGATTCTGGTCTAGGGTAGCTGGTCGCTGTGCCACCCAGAGATGCAAAGGGAGATGGGGGCAGGAAGAGGCCTCAAGGGCTCCTGGGGACTGCACTGAGGAACTGGGTTGGTCTGGATGCAAAGGATCAGGAAGAGGAAAGGTCAGTCCTGGTGTCCAGGAAAGAGGTTGGCAGGTTGTGCGGCCCAGGAAAGCAGAGGGAGGTGAGCTACAGTTTGTCTATTTATTTATTTATTTATTTATTTATTTATTTATTTATTTTTTGTCTTTTTCAGACAGGGTCTCCTTGTAGCCCCAGCTGTCCTGGAACTCACTATGTAGACCAGGCTGGCCTTGAACTCACAAAGAGCCACCAGCCTCTGCCTCCCAAGTGCTGGGATTAAGGTGTGCCACCACGCACAGCCCTTAATTTATTATTTTTATGTGTAGGTGTGTATTGCCTGCATGTAGGTAAGTGTATCCTTGTCGTGCAATGCCTGAGGAGGACAGAAGAGGCTGTCAAATTCCCTGGAACTGGAGTTACTGACAGTTGTTAGCTGCCATGTGGGTGCTGGGATTCCAACCCAGGTCTTCTGCAAGAACAGCCAGTGTTCTTAACTGCTGAGCCATCTCTCCAGCCCCATCTTTCTTTTTTTAAAAGAGAAGGTTCAGGAGCCATTAAGATGGCTCAGTGGTAAAAGTGCCTGCTGTCAAACTTGACTACCTGAGTTCAATCCCTGGACTCCACAGTGGAAAGAGACAACCAATCTCCTCTAGTTGTCCTCTGACCTCCACAGCTATGCTGTGTCAAGTATGTGTCCACACACATATATACACATACACAAAAAAGTAATAATTACAATTTTTATTTACTTATATTATTTTTTTTGGTCTTTTTGAGACAGGGTCTCCCTATAGCCCCAGCTGTCCTGGAACTCACTATGTAGACCAGGCTAGCCTTGAACTCACAGAGATCCACCTGCCTCTGCCTCCCAAGTGCTGGGATTAAAGGCATGTGCCACTACGCCCAGCTACTTATATTAATTTTATGTGCACCCGTGTCATGCAATGTTTCCAGAGGCCAGAAGTGGGCATTGGATCCCCTGGAGCTGGAGTTAAAGATGTTTGTTAGCCGTCATGTGGATCCTGGGAACCAAACCCAGGTCCTCTGAAAGAGCAACCGGTACTTTTTAACAAATGAGACATCTTTCCAGCCCCATTTATGATTTTTTTTGTGTGTCTTTTTGAGACAGGGTTTCCCTGTAGCCCCAGATGACCTGGAACTAGCTATGTATACCAAGCTGGCCTTGAACTCACAGATATCCGCCTGCCTCTGCCTCCCAAGTTCTGGGAATAAAGGCATGTGCCAATACGCCCAGCCATTCATGATTTTTTTTTTTTTAAAGTTCATGCTAGGGAGATGAAGTAGTGATTAAAAATGCTTGTGGTATAGACCTGACAACTTGACTTCAGTTTTTGGAAACCACAGTGGAAGGAGACAACTAACACCCAAATGTTGTCCTGTAACCTCTGCATGTGCACCATGGCACATGCAAGTTTGTGCACATACACACATACAGAATAAATAAAATTAAAAAAACATATTTTAAAGGAATAGGCTATGATCAATTGGTATGATAGTGTATGTCAGTTATCCCAGCACTTGGGAGGCAGATGCAGGAGAATTGTAGGCTGGAGGCCAGACTAGGGTACAGAATGAGTCTGAGACCAATCTCAATATAGGCTACACAGAGACTCCACCTCCATTGGCTCCCCAGAAAACATATATTAGGTTCTAGAACCTTAGAAATAGTTACAGAAGGTGTTCCTTATCCATGATTTTGATTTTCTACAGATTAATTTGTCATGGTCAATTAAAGTCCAAAAATACTACCAAAAATTTACAGAAATTTATAGTTTTGCTAGGCATTGTGGCACAAAACTGTAATCCTAGATATGAGAGGTGGAGGTAAGAGGATCAGATATTCATAGTCATCCTCAGGTGCATAGTAAGTTTGAGGCCAACCTTGGTTGCAACAAAAAAAATGTATAATTTTTTTGTTGGGGAGATACTGAGCCTAGGTTGGCCTCAGACTCCCTCTGATGCCTAGGTTGGCCATTGAGCTCCTCCTGATCTTCCTGCCTCTACGTCCTGAATCTGGCATTATAGGTGTATGCCACCACATCTGGCTCATAACTTTTTAAAAAATATTTTATATGTTATTTTTTATTTTATGTGTATGAGTGTATTGCCTGCAGGTAGGTAAGTGCACCCATATGGTGCAATGCCCATGGAGGACAGAAGAGGCCCTTGGATCCTCTGGAAGTGGAGGTACAGACAGTTGTTAGCTGCCATATGGGTGCTGGAATTCAAAACCAGGTCTTCTGCAAGAACAGCCAGTGTTCTTAACTGCTGAGCCATCTTTCCAGCCCTATAACTTTTAAATTTGTATGATTCTGAGTAACAATCAGCTTATGGTAATTTAATGCAATTTGATAGCATACAAATATCTATTTATAGCTTATAAGTAATGGAAATTTTCACCAACTGAATGGGGATAAAACTGCTGAAGTGTTTTTACATACAATAACTAGTATGTTTTGGAGAATATTGTACTACATTTAACTTCTTCATCTTTCTCTGTTCTTTCTAATAGAAATAAGTCTCAGAAATGAATTTTAATGTCTGGAATATCAAAGAGATGCTCAGTATTCCCTCAGGTTCTGGGTAAGTTTCCTGGCTATTTAATTTGATATTTAAGTCTTGTGATTTTATTGATTTCATAGAAAGTCCTTTCCTTTAGTAATAGTAAACTTGCCAATAGCTGGAATGGCTATTGTATTGTAATAGTGGTATCCCATATTGCCTCTCCTTTCTCCTCCTCTCCTTTGTTACTACTGCTTCTTTCTATGCTTGTCTTTTTCCTCCTGCTCTTTTTCTGATTGGAAAAGTAATGTCAGTTCTGAGGAGATGCCTTAGTTGATAAAAACATTTGCCTTGCAAGCGTGAAAACTTGTGTTTGAATCCCCAAAACCTATGTGGAAAGCTGGGCACACTCATATATATCTGCAATCCCAGCAATAGTGAAACAGGACATAGAGGCAGGCAGATCTGGAAGCTCACAGGCCAAGCTAGATTGGCCTGTGTGACAAGGTTCCAATGAGAAGCCTCATCTCTAACAAAAGGTGGAAGGTACTTAAGGATAGACATACATGGTTGTCCTCTGACCTTCATTCAGATGCCATGCACACACATACCCACACCTACACATATGGTCCAAGTGTCATGAACACACACACACACAACCACAGAACCACACACACACAGACTCAAATGATATCAAGCCAGCTGTGTGTATGAACCCTGTATCCAACACTAGGTATTGGAACTGGACCTGTGAGAATCTGATATATCCCATCATCTAGAAACTGATCTAAATTGGGGCAATACTATTGAAATAGTAAGAAATAAAATTAATTCAGTGTTCAGATGTTTGTGTAGCGCATTTTGTAGGTGCCATGGAGATACGACACACTGCAGCTACTGGCAACACTCATTGAGTAGCACATGCTTACTGTTCCACTAAGGTTTTAGACTGATGTCCGCCAGCCTGCAATAAGCCTTGCCATTGATAACTTAGTGGGTGTGCCCCTGAAATGACGTATATTTTTAAAAAATATTCATTATTTTTATTTTATATGTATGAGTATTATGCCTGCATGTATGTAAGTGCACCCGTGTTGTGCAATGCCCACAGAGGACAGAAGAGGCTGTTGGATCCCCTGGAACTGGAGTTACAGACAGTTGTTAGCTGCCATGTGGGTGCTAGGATTCCAAGCTGGATCTTCTGCAAGAACAACCAGTGTTCTTAACTGCTGAGCCATCTCCCAGCCCCATGCCTTTAATCCCAGCACTTGGAAGGCAGAGGCAGGTGGATCTCTATGTGTTCAAGTGGTCTACATAGTGAGTTCCAGACCCAACCAGCACTATATAAGTGAGACTCTGTTTATGTCTGTGTATGTCTATGTGTGTGCGCATACCACATGTGTGGGTGCCCTGGGAGGCCAGGGCATCAGTTCCCCTGCAGCTGGATTTATAGGCAGTTGTGAGCCACCTGACATGGGTGCTGGGAACTGAACTAAGATCCTCCGAAAGAGTAAGGCCTCTTAACTAACTGCTGCACCTTCTCTCTAGCTCCAGTTTGCCTTTTTTTTATTTTAGATTTTATTTTGCTATTTATGTGTATATGTGTGTGTGTCTGAGTGTGTGGGCACATATATGTGTGTCAGCAGAAGCCGGAAGTGGTCGTTGGATCCCCTGGAGCTGGAGTTGTTCAGGGTCCGAAAAGTTCCCTGAATTGACCACTCGGACACTGAGTCTCAGGAAAAAGAAGCACTTTATTGGAGTCAACCAGTTGGGGACACAGACAGTCTCGGGAGCTGTACTGCGATCCTGGGCAGAGAAAACAGAGGGCTTTTAAGTATAAAAACCACAAAGCAGGGGATTTCTGTAGAAACCATACACAGAATAACCAGGAAAAGATTTGAACAATCTAGGGCTGATTTCTAGAGCCTTAACCTATACAGCCATTGGCTAGCTTACCTGGGACAGAATGTTCTTTCTCTTCTGTCCTGACCATTCCTATAGAAACCATGAACAGATGTATCAGGAAAGGGTTTGAACAATGGAGGGGGTTTCCAGAGCCAGGTGGAAGGCAGCTTTTTCTTAGAGGATAGGGAGGGGGGGTCTGAGGGACACTCTCCTTCAGAGTTACAGGAGATGTGAGCCCCCCAGTATGAGTGCCAGGAACCAAACTCAGGTCCTCTGGAAGGAGCAGCAAGTGCTCTTAACCATTGAGCCATCCTTTTCAGTCCCTAAATCCCTTATCCCTAATAATACTATAATCCCTTCAGATGTGACATTTTGGTTTTATTTCTTTTTGATTTTTGTCTTTTGAAATAGAGTTTCACACTGTACCCCAAACTGTCCTGGAACTTACTGCTTGCTTCTAACTTGTGGTAAACCTCCTGTCCCAGTTTCCTGAATGTTAGAATTACTTGTGTCAGCCACTATACCCAACTTCATATGTAAGGTTTAAAGACTGGCATCTATCTCAGTGGGAAGGAAGTTAGAAAATCACAGCTTCCAACTGTGAATCAAGAAAGGACATACAGCCAAATGTGGTGGCGTACCTCTTTAATCCCAACAAATGGGAGGCAGAGGCAGGCAGACTACTGTGAGTTTGAGGCCAGCCTGGTCTACATATCAAGTTCCAGGTCAACTGGGGGCTACAGGGAGAACCTGTTTCAAAAAGAAAAAAAAAAGGAGAGAGAGAGAAAGGGAGGGAGGGAGGGAGGGAAGGAAGGAAGGAAGGAAGGAAGGAAGGAAGGAAGGAAGGAAGGAAGGAAGGAAGGAAGGGCACTGAAAGGATAAAAAGGGAGCAACATTTCTTTCATGAACGATTTTAGGCAGGAGGATCAGAAGTTCTGTCACCCTTGACAATATGGGGAGTTTTGAGACCAGCCTGGGTTACACCATCAGTCTCTGTCTCAAAAAACAAAAACAAAGCTGGGAATGGTGGCATACACCTTTAATCCCAGCACTCAGGAAGCAGAGACAGGCCAATCTCTGAGATCTAGCCCAGCCTGGTTTTAGTGAATCTAGGCCAATTGGTGGTACAAGGGGACTCTCAAAAAACAAAGAGCCACCCACCCCCGAAAAAAAAAAGAGGAAACAAAAATGATTTTTATTGGAGCTGGAGAGAGAGCTCAGGGGTTAAGAGCACTGACTGCTCTTACAAAGGACTTGGGTTTGATTCCCAGCACCCACATGGCAGTTAACAGTTATCTGTAACTCCAGTTCCAGGGGAATCCGACACCTTCTTCTGACCTCCTTGGGCATTACACAACACTGGTGCACTTATACTCATGCAGGCAAATACACTCATACACATAAAATAAAAATAAATAAAAACGATTTTTGTAGCTGGGCGTGGTGGTGCACGCCTTTAATCCCAGCACTTGGGAGGCAGAGGCACACAGATCTTTGTGAGTTTGAGGCCAGCTTGGTCTACATACAGGGAGACCCTAGCTCAAAAAGACCAAAAAAAAAAAAAGAAAAGAAAAAAAAAGAAAAAAGATTTTTGTTTGTTTGAGACAAAGTCTTGCTATGTTGTCCAAGCTAGCCCCCAAAATGCAAAATCTTCCTGTTCGAGCTTCCTGAGTGCTAGAACTATAGCCAGCTTCAAAAGCTTTTTCTTTTGAGACAGGGTATCATTGTAGCCCAGGCTGGGTTTCAACCTTAAACTTCTGATCCTCCTGCCTATACCTCTTCAATGCTGAGATTATAGACATTCACCTCCATGCTCAGTTTTTAAAAAAATTTTTTTGGTCATTTTGAGACAGGGTCTCCCTGTAGCCCCAGCTGATCTGGAACTCTCTGTGTAGACCAGGTTGGCCTGGAACTCACAGAGATCCACCTGCCTCTGCCTCCCTAGTGCTGGGACTAAAGGCATGCACCACCATGCCCAGCTTTCAAAACACTTTTTTTTTTTTGGTCTTTTTGAGACAGGGTCTCCCTGTAGCCCCAGCTGTCCTGGAACTCACTATGTAGACCAGGCTGGCTTTGAACTCACAGAGATCCTCCTGCCTCTGCCTCCCAAGTGCTGGGATTAAAGGTGTGCACCACCACGCCCGGCAAAACATTTTTTTAATGAATGCTTTTGTGTATAGATCTGAATTATTGATAGTCTTCAGTATGAATGAGTTCAGTATTAGCCTCATTCACCTGCTCAGCATCTCATAATAAAGTACCATAGACTGAATGTGAGAAATTAACTTTTTCACAGTTCTGGAGGTACAGAGCATTGTATTGGGGTATCAGTATAGTTGGTTTCTGGTGAGTTGTGTCTTTCTGACTTGCAGACCAGCCCTGTCTTATTGTATCTTCACAGGGTTGGACGTGGGGTTGTAGAATGTTGAGCATTGGCTATTTTGTGTGTGTGTGTGTCTCTTCTTTTTTAAAATATTTTATTTATGGGCTGGAGAGATGGCTCAGAGGTTAAGAACACTGGTTGTTCTTGCAGAAGACTTGGGTTCAAATCCCAGCACCCACATGGCAGCTAATAACTGTCTGTAACTCGAGTCCCAGAGGATCTGACAGCCTCTTCTGACCTCCACGGGCATTGCACGATACAGGTGCATTTACCCTACTTGCAGGCAATACACACATACACATAAAATTCAAAAAATAATAATAAATGTTTTATTATTTTTATTTTGTGTGTATGAGTCTATTGCCTGCATGCATGTAAGTGTACCCATGTTGTACAGTGCCCACAAAAGTCAGAAGGCATTGGATTCCCCTGGAACTGGACTTATGGATGGTTGTTAGCCGCCATGTGAGTGCTAGGAATCAAACCTGGGTCCTCTGCAAGATCAGCCAGTGCTCTGTGGGTGCTAGGAATCAAACCTGGGTCCTCCGCAAGATCAACCAGTGCTCTTAACCACTGAGCCAGCTCTCCAGCCCCCTTGTGTCTCTTCTTATGAGAACATTAATCCTATCACAAGAGCCTTACCTTGGACCTCATCTAAAGGTGAATACTCTTGCAAAAAAAAAGCCCTGTCTCCAAATGCTGTCACATTGACAAGGTAGAGCTTAACATAAGGATTTGCAGGGACATAAACATTCAGTTCATAGTAAGGCCTATTTTTTAGTTAAAAGGCATT